TTCCAAGTATTACTATAATATATTCTGTACTTCATAAAAACTACTTGATTTTATAGGTTGTATTGATGGAAGAAAATGCAACATACGGGCAATCTGCCAAGGGGAGTGGACTTTCTGTGGAATTTTTCGCATGTTAGACACGTGAAGAATACCGGAAAACTGCACGAGACAAACCCGTTCATGATAGGTTGACCCATGATTAACCACCAGTGTTCAATGGTGTTATTCATTGAACACTAGTGATTAGTCGTGGGTTCACTCCTCATCGTGTGCATGGATTAAATAGCGTTATATCGAAGTTTATCTTTCTAAAACTTATTCTTTTATGTAAATTAATGCTTAAGTTGTTCGTTTAATATTTTATTTTTATATACTTTGTAAATAGTATTAGTTTCTCATTCTATAATTAATATTCATAAGGTGCCACTGCTTACAAATCCATTTTGAAAGCTTGAAGTATTTTGTGCAGCACTTTGTACTAAGATAGCAATTTTTTGCAACTTCGTATATGAGAATAAATANAAAATAATCTGTAATTTAACTTCATTAATGGTAAATTTTATACACCAACCTTGGCCTAAATAACGGATCACTTATAAATTTTATGGTACCAATCAATATTATTTTATTCTCATAAAATAAAGTAATTAATTAAATAAAAAACATGTTAAAGTTTTTTGTAAAATATTTTTTTAATGTATAACAGTACAGCTAATATTGTGGGAATTTATAGTGTAAGTTAAGAACTTGAGAAATAAGAAAATAAATTTTTTGAATATTAAATTATTTTATGTTTAAATATATTTAAACGTTTTATATTATTAAATAACTATATTTATATAATTTAATATAATTTTTATTTGTAAGTACAGCACGGTCGCGCTAATTCGAACCCCTTTGTAATCCAAATAGCTTCTACCATTCCCCTAACTAAAATAATAGTCTTGTCAACTGTACATTTGCATCTCACGTGTAAACACAAGTCACGTGTTTTGAGCATTTCTAATCATTCCTTCTGTGACCCTGTTTGACTTTAACAATTCTTACCTGTATTTCCTTCTGTAAAATATCTTACAACAGTAAAATTTGGCCTCAAAGCGTAAGCATTATCTAATACTTACCATTCTCGTTAATCCGAACTTTATCCGCTTGCCTCAATTAGTTAGGATTATTTATACTATATTATTATAAAATTATAATATACGTATATTATATAATAGTTTTAATTGTGGAGAAGTTTAGTATTTTATAAAATATTTTATTATTATGTAAGAAACTCCTTCCTCTTCCTTTTTATCAGTAAAATTCACATGTTTCCGCTGGTAAATTCGACTGTTGATTCAATAATATTACTTCGAAGTAATTAAGGAGCTCAATGGGATTGTATTTTCCCTAATTGCATAATTATGGAAAGTACAATACAATTCTCTTGAAAATTTTCCAGACTGATGTATTTATAATTAATAAAAATATATGGAGTGTATTATGTTTAATTATATTATTAAAATTTCGATTTTTTATGTATATTTATATAAATTCATATATTATATTAATTTATATTCAAACTAATTCAAAGATTAATGTCTTTGGTGCATGAAAATCATACTATTAATTATTTTCGTGATGATTATTTTATTGAATTACTAAAGTAGCGATAAATAATGATTTAAAGAGAATAGGAAAAGGTTTATTTGTTTATTTATTCAGTTTTTGTCTTGTTTTCTTGGTTAGTATTTAAATTTTCTTCATTAAAATAAACTTTGTGATGATACAATTCAAATAACATTATTAAAAATCAAAAATAATTTTTTTTTTAATTTTAGGATGATAATACATTATCATAAATTATTATCAATCTACTCTGATGAAGATCACATCTGATGCTTTCCATGATTTCCTGTCCAATGCTTTAGTTTTCCAATGATTATATATATAAAGCTGTATATTATATATTTAACAGAATGAAGATGAAATTTTAATTATTTTATTATTATATTATGGTAAAAGTTTAGGGTATATCGCTGAAACAGTTCAAGAAACGACATAATTGATAAGAGCATCCTTGGGAGAGTGTGATTAAAATAAATTTTATTTATATATTTAAAAACTTAAATGTTTTTTAAAAAATATATTATAAAATAATTAAAATATTCTTTAAATTGTGCTAGAAATGTTCAATTATTAAATTAATTAGCGTGCAATAATGTTAATTCAGTTGATTATCAAGTTTAAGCTTGAGGTGAGTAAGATCGATCATTATCAGACACTTTATTAAAACAATGATTATGGATTATTTTTTTTTAGAAAAATAATAATTAGAATTCATTAAAAATAACCTAAATATTATATATTTTCTTGTTGCTAACAGTGAATAACTAATGAGTTTATGCTTAATCAATTTTCCCCCGGATATAAAATCCTGTGGTCGTTACACAGTTTAATAAAGATTAAATATCTGATAATGCAACTCCTGAGGGGAAAATCAGCTATTGTATAATTAGCTCCAACAGATTTTCTTTTAAGCCCATGGCGATAAATTTCTATAGGTGCTTTAATGGAGCCACCAATTGCTCGAAGGTATCACCAATACGTAAAATTAAATTCTAAGATTAATATTAGGTTCAACGAAACTAAATTTATCTTATTTTTTGAAATGAAAATAGCTAAAAACAATAAGATAATAACGTTTTTTTATAATGGAATAATTAGAAATTAGATGAATAAAACGTTCTCAGTAATGCGATACGTAGTAAAAATGTAATGTATAAGTTTTATATATATATTTAAAGAAAACTAGATGTAGGTCATTAGCCTATTCACTGCCACAAATTACACTATTATCGGCCACATCCTCGACTCAAACTAGATCGAACAGGACCGCATTCTCATGAATTTTATGCTATCGTTAAGCGTTCAGGGGCAGACATCGTTATCGTGTTATAACGAGGTGGATGGTAAATATCTAGGTCACTTCATAACACTATCTCTAAGTGTTAGTTATCTAGGCACAAATGTGCGGACAATGATCTCTAATAATGACGCACGACACTATCAGGACATGGACTAGTTTGTGTAAATAAATACAATAATTTGGCTAACTTTTCCGAAATATTTGTATAATTACTTGAAAATATTTTTACTTTTAATCAGACAGAAAATATATTTTTAATCATAATTAACCATTAAATGTGAAGATAGATGTGTTGAGGGAGGTAAATTTAAACGTTTAAGGGCATATCTATGCAACTTTTCTTATTATTCTTACACAGTTTAATGTTTATTGGTTTAAATGATAATAATTAGTTTAAATTGTTTTGAAATAGAATATTAATTTACATTATTGCAATTTAATAATGTAAATAAGTAGGAAAAACGATGTAAGGAATGTACAGGGTGAGTCAAAGTCTGTATTCAAAACCTGAAGGGGATATACATGTGAAGTGTGATGTCATTATTTAAATATTATCAACGTAAATGAAATTCTATGACTTAAAGAAACTAAACCTTTGCCCAATATTTAGACTTTTCTCACCCTACAGATTCAATTACACTATTTTATTATGTATTTATTTACAAAAAATTTATACAAGGCAATTGTGCCCATTGTGGTCTTCGATCAACACTAAAATATACCCCATGAAAGCCGATAAAATTAAATGAAAAAAAAGGTAACAACAACAATTGCAAGTAAATAAAATTCTATATTTTTATTAATCTAAATTCTTTTTCAATATTGTACAAAGAATACACAAACATGGTGAGCAAAAACCATCCTATGATAGGGACAGTTAATGACGAAAGGCTATATACAAAGCTATATACTGAAATTTATAAAGACATACTGCTGAAGCAACCACCACATACATATATCTATGTATATATATATGTCACACAATTTTCTTTATTTATAAAGATGAAAAATGAACTAAACAAAACACTAAAATCAATGAGTAATGGCTTTAAACCATGTCAATCATTAAAACTTGACTTTCAATCTCATCAACGTCATAACCATTTTCAGTTTACGGATAGAAAGTCACAATATAATTATCCTGGAACATAATTCGTGGCCATATAAGTACTTAGTTTTCGAAGAAGGTTCTTTTATTTATCAGATATAAAGAAATAAAAAAAATGCCTACATCAACATTATAAATGGAGGCATGAAGTAAAAAAAAAAAATGCCTACATTAATGAAGGCACTAAATAAAGCTGAATAGAATTAGTTAACAATTGTTAAAAAAGATCCTTAAGAT